CAATGCTGCTAAATTGCTGCGCTTATAACGCCACATGTTTGTTGGAGACATTGAAACTGTTATCAAAACAGCTGCTGTTCACTAGTATACGCCTACTGTGCCCCCAGGTCAAAATCAACATCGTCCTTTACGGTGATGCAATTTTGTCCTCCGTCAATACATATATTAACATTTAATCTATTTATATTGTTCAGACTGTTGTCCTCATCTTATCGCCATATTCACAACGTTTCGACCGTTGTACGTTCCGGTCTTCGTCAGTTGATATTTGGCGGAATTTTGAAACGAACTCTTTATTTCGTTCACGGGGTTAGATTATTCCAAATTAAAGAAATTCTTTTTTTTTTTTTAATCACTTCACCCCAAACAAGATGATAATGTCACTATGACGCAATGGGTCCTGGAAGAGAAAGAGAATAAAAAGACTTTAGTGAGAAGAAAGAACGATAAAGGCAGAACATTCAGAGAGAAAGACGTTAATGATTGGTGTTGCATTTAAATTTTTGAACATTGGAAGCAGCAAGGGAAGTAAAAAATCGAAAATGAATTCTATAGGTCACAAGTGCGAAAAAAGAAATTATTAGAATATAACATCAAGCTAGGTCGACAGTAAAGCGGTGAGATCTATTTGCCAGTCTAGTAGGGTTTTTTTAATCATTTTAGGGAAGGCAATAATGCCACTAAGACACAAAGGGATACTAAGATTGGAAGAGAATTATAAAATTTTAATGAGAAGAAAAGATAATAAAAGAACAGGATTCAGGAAGAGAAAAGCTGGTAATTAGCAATGTTATTTAAATTTTTAAAGATTGTTGGTGGCAGGGAAACAAGAAACTACAGGCGAAAAATTCAAGAAAGAAACTAGAATAGAACATGCAGTTGCACTTAGCTAGTTCGACAATAGAATGATGAGACCTAATTGCCAATCTAGTAGAAGACTTAAATTCATGTAGTTGAAGCATCAAGGAGGAAAACTCATCAGAACAAGTGACATGAAAATTTTTGTAAAAAAGGCAGAGAGAGGCCATGTCACAGCAGTTGGAAATTGACAAGTCGAGATGCCAGGTCAGGATTGATTATATTACAGACTCTTCTATGGATTTTGTCCCGAACCTCGAGATATATAAAATCAGGAGCACCTGACCTGATATAGCAGCAGTATTCAATACACGAACGAATGGTAGATTTATAAATGTGCAAAATGTACTCTGACAAGAAACATTGTTGCTCTTTTGGGGGTTAGCATTAGTCATGCTGATGGCAAACTGAAAACTTTCTCCTATGATGATTAAATAAAAGCCATTTTTTTGCAGGCGTTAGAATTTACAAAACACTCAGTTAAACGAATTGTAGGTCATTTTCGAGAGCAATTGTCAATTTTAGTTTGTCATACTTGCTACTAAGACAGGAATAACTAGTTGCGTTACCATCATACCTAATGAGGATCTTATTACATCGGAAAGGTCATTGTTGAAAATAAGAAACGGTGTAGTTTAAAAGGAGAGCCCTGGGGGCCACCGCATTAATGTAAAATGAATTATAAGTGTGTCCGTTCAACACATCCTTTATTACACGATTTGTTAAAAATTATTGGTTTAACCTAAATATTTATCCAGACACAGTAGTCCTTGAGCTTGTGGAGAAGGCAAGCATGTAAAAGTTTGTTGAACGTCTTCAAGATATCTACAGCCACAGCCCGACCTTCGCCGTTCTTATCTAAAGCCTGAGAGACAAATTCAGTAATAGCCATGAACATATCGGCGGTAGATCTGGAGAAACGGAAGCCATATTGTTTCTCTGAAAGAAGGCTGTGTGAAGTAAGAGCCTTAACTAATTCGATGTTGATTATAGCAACACGTACTTTGCCAAAAAAAGAGGCAAAAGTCTATGAGATGATTCGAAGGGACAGAGGTTTCACCAGAGTACTTAAAGGCGGGAACGATATAGTAGGATTTCCAAAAAGATGGAAAGCAATCAGCAGCAAGGCTTTTATTGTAGAGTTTGAGGAGAAGAGGAGCTAGTTCATGAGCACATTTTCTGGAGGAAATTGCAGGGATAGCGTCGAGTACATTTTTTCTGAGTACTACTACAGGGATACCGCCGAATCCGCAAGGCTTGTGGGGGTCTAGTTTAGAAAAGATACCAGAAACCATAGACGAAAGTGGGCATATCAGTCAGTCGTAACCCTGTTCTAGGGAGGGAATCAGATAAAGATACTCCTGATGAGTTGACTGTTGAGTTGGGAGAGAATTTACGAGCAAAGCATTCTGCTTTATCTGCAGTAGATAGCAACACTTCAAATTGATTAAAGAGAGGATCTTGTTCAGTACATTCGTACAGAGCCACCAGTAATCTCTAGAACCAAACTTGTGCGAAGCTATACGATGTTCCATTCTATCAGAGAATAGTGACTTTGCCTATTTGTATAATTCTATATTTCAAAAGGTGTAAAACATTTAATCACATTCAAAATGAACATTAAAATAAAACAACAGAAATGATTATAGTTACTGTAAAGTATTACATCGAGAAACGAAATCGTTTAAAAAAGAAAAATGTTTAACCAGTTATCATTTCTCTCTCTTCAGCCGTCCTAGGTATGACGATAAAGTACATCCGCCTCCTGGGTAAGACGATAAACTACATCTGTGTCCAGAGTAAGATGATAAAATGCATCCGCGCCCTGGGTATGACGATAAACTGCATCCAACAGCAAGCCTCTGATCAAGGGTTTTGAGGAGCGTGGAACCATTTCTTAATTGCTGGTGTTCCCAGGTCCACTCTGACGCGAAGTGGCAGCACCTGTTAGGGTCCCAGCTATGGGCAAATAGTTGACCTTCAATCTGGGATAAAAACACTATGAAAGTGTAAAAATAGTTTTTAATGCCAGTAATATATTTTTGTAAAAGCTTATTGCCAGCAATGAATTTTTGAAGAAAATATTATTACCAGCGATACATTTTTTGAAAAAAAATATTACCAGCAATAAAAATCTTGTCGGCATTAAATAAACCAATGGGGTTCATATGCCGTAAAACGAACCAAAACCAAAAACTCTCTCTTCAGAGTTCTATCAAGTACTGACAATATTTGCAGAGTGAATAAAATAAGCAACACTAAAGATAAGGTAATTATTAAATATATGATCATGTCTTATCCAAACAGGTAACGCAAACCCTGATCCGAACGACCACTTAACACATTCACTTAGCTGAAACGCAGTAGCACCAAAACAGTTTCTCAGTAAATAGATAAATAACTTCTGACAACATCAATGCCTCGAGCCCACCAATCGCATTGCTGTTCCCAATTTGCACAAATTCTTATCACACCCAATTAAACTCATTACAAGCTCCAATTTCGCATGGCATCATCAAAGGCTGCCAACGTTCAGGCCGCGGGGCCACTTCTGCTTACAGAACTCTTAGAACGACTTCCTATACATAGTCACTACATAAATCCTAATGAGCCTCTCTCGATACCGAGAATATATCTTGGTTATATGACCACACACACTGATGGTTATTTAACAAATGCTCAGCTATCGCCGACCCAGATATATGGACGCACCTCTGAAAATTACACAAAATTCTTATATGAATATTGGCTGGCTTCTGTTGATTAATTCTTTATTCTGACCTCTGACCCGTTCTACCTATATAATAACCGTTATAAAGGTTGTTCCAGTAACTTAGACCAATTTTAAATGTGAATTAAATTTAAGCGTCTAATGATTTTGTTCTTTTTCTTTCAGATTTAGCTGACATTTGGGCGATATTAGTTTTCACACATAATTGCCATGACTTAAATAACATAGAGAAATAAATAAATTTTCACCAATAACACTGATTTATTTACTGCTGACTTTGATCCGTCTTAATGAAACACCCTTATATATAATCCGCTTTAATGAAACATCCTTATTAAGATTTCAAATTGAATATTAGCGAATTAATATTATGTCATTTACCATTTTCTGATGAGAGAGAACATCTCAGATCAATCTTAACATTGGTTAGACAGACAGCCTTTGACGGTTATATATATATATATATATATATATATATATATATATATATATATATATATAACATAATGTCTTTATTGTTTCTTATCTACTCACTGTGGGCATTTTCTGTCCTCAGAAAAGGTTTTTGCAAAAATGAAAACAAAACGAGTTAAGCTTTTTATGTTTTTTTTTTTTATTCTTTTATTCTTTGTCCTCTTTCTTGTTTGCTCGATTTACATTTTTGCAGTAACTATGAAAATGTTTTTTATTCTTTTCTGTTGTTTGATTAAAATATATCCGTTTTTATTGATTGATTTGTTTCTTGCGGTTTATCAACCCTTTGTGAGCTAGTCCCAAACGAAACATATTTTGGATTGTAAGAATAATTCTTTTTTGCGAGTGAATATTACCTAAAGAATTTCTCTTTAGAATAACAACGATTTCTCTAGATACATGCACTACTATTTAACTCATAGCTGGGGAGAAGATGGTTTCCTAAAGGTACTTGCGCATAAATAAATGTAATGAACGCAACCGAAATTCGAACTCAGGTCTCCGATTTTCGTTCTGAAGAGCTATACGTTACACGAGCCATTTCATTGTATTCGTGCGTAAATTATTAATTCGTCTTAGTCCTGACTGAGTCGGAGCCCGAACACAAGAAATAAACTTTACTGTGTTTAATTTTATAAAAAATAGTCCGAACATAGTAAACTAAAGATATATTTAATATATGAATTTAAAATTCAAATATTATAAATACATAATAGATATATAATGATTTTACAGGAACAGGAATGGATCTTTCGCGAAACTTTCCTGTTTGCAAAAAAAATCGTATTCTTTTAAATATCAAAAAGCCAAAAGTAGATCGGGGTACATTCGACTTCCCGTTACGAAATCAAATCGGGGTACACTCAACGCTAAGAAATCAAATCGACTTACACCGCAACGAAATCAAATCGACTTACCTCAACGAAATCAAATCGAGGTACACTCGACTTCCCGCTACGAAATCAAATCGGGGTACACTCAACGCTACGAAATCAAATCGAGGTACACTCGACTTCCCGCTACGAAATCAAATCGGGTACACGCTAACAAATCGAGGTACACTCGACTTCCCGCTACGAAATCAAATCGGGGTACACTCAACGCTACGAAATCAAATCGAGGTACACTCGACTTACCGCTACGAAATCAGGTCGGGATACAGTCGACTTCCCGCTACGAAATCAAATCAGGGTACACTCAACTTCCACCTACAAAATCAGATCGTGGTGCACTCAACTTCCTGCTCCGAAATCAGGTGGGGGTACAGTCGACTTCAACTACGAAGTCAAATCGTGGTATACTCAACTTCCCGCTACGAAATCAGATCAGGGTACTCTCGACTTTCCGCCACGAAAGCAGGTCGGGGTATACATGCATTCTCTGTATGATCCTTCACACTATCCCTCATTATATACTAAAAAACCTTTATAAACTATTGCATATTAACTTCACTCTTACCCCGGGTATGTTTCAGCCATAATCAAGACTATCACACAAATGTCCATTATGTCTAGATAGAATCCTTTTACGTATTCCCATTTTTAGGGTCTCTTCTATTCTTCCAACTTGTAGATTATTCTAATCCTATTTAGAAGTCCCAATTCTAAAAGTGAATGACTCCATCTTGATAGAAGATTCAACTACAAGATCACCAAGGTAATTATGAAAACAGTAAAACGTAGAGATGTAGACATTTTGAAGAGCATATATCAAAAGATGATTTATGAATAAGCACCATTGGATGCCAGTGTTGTTGTTGATTATAGCATTTTCAGTCATCTCCCGGTCAAAGAATTTCGGAGAGAAATGATCGGACAAGAAAACGACCAGAAATACACAGTCTATCAACGAGCCTCAATTACAGTTAAACGGTAAAAAGAATTTAAGGTGAATTCTATTTTTAAACCATATTAACTTTCCACCACGCTATCGTCAAACTTTTTTTTCAACTCGTTTCGTGTTTATTGACTGCACTAGGATTTAATCTTATAATTGATAGCTCTCTTGGTGGGGCTAATAATACACCCAATAGTTCCCCTTTTCGGAGGCTAGACATCCCCCTACCAAACAAATTACTTTCTGAAAGGATGCATGCTGACTGAAGTATACACACGACCATTTTTGCTTATAGACTCAAGTATAAGTATTATAAATATAGCCTCTAGCATAATCATGATTAATATTTTCTTAAACACTCTTGTACGACCAACTATTACCTAAAGTCTCAAGCATAAACACATCCAGTATTTATTTATAGTCTCAAGTATAATTATGATAATTGTATACGATCATATATAGTCTCAAGTATAAAAGCGATCTATGTTTACTAATAAAAACAAGTATAACTACAAACATTATTTACCTATAAACTTAGTTTTTAGGGGGGATATTTTTAGTTTTTTTTTTATTTGTTTTTTTTTCTGTTTTTTTTTTCTGTTTTTTTTTTAATCGATATCACCCCAAGCCATATAGTAATGCCACTAAAACCCAAGGGTTTACAGAATGTGGAAGAATTAGGAATAGAAACAATAATGATGAACAGAAAGAAAAGAGAGTAATCAGGTGGACAGTAGATAGCGATTGACATTGCCTTTAAATGTTTGCAGATTAAAGTTTGCTGGAAAGGATCTAGCCGGAAGGGTGTTCCACAGGCGAGAAGTGCGAGAGAAGAAATTGTTAGCGATCTTTCTCTTGTTAATCTTTCCATGGTTGAAATTGCCAAAGACTTAAGTTGTTAAATCTAAAAGAAAAACAAACAAATCATTAGACGCTTAAACTTAATTAACATTTAAAATCGGTCCAAGTTATTGGAACCGCCTTTAGTTCTGGATATGTCTATTCCAAAGAAAACTCTGGAACAGAAAATTAGGTAAGAAAATGTTTAATAACAAGGATTAATAATACAATACTAGCAGATATTGTAGTTTACGACACATTTTCCGACAATCTTGTATCGCATTTGCGACTAATCTTATAAGGACTGGAAGATTCTATTTTCAAGAATTTAGTGTGGCGAAGTTTAGTTGTCTTTCTACACAGCAGAAATCTTTGTATTTGTTTGGAAAATTAGGAGAGATCGTGAAAGGAAATATCTACAGGAGTTGGACAAAATAATTGGAACAGTTGCAAAATTCACTCCTATATTTCAAAGACCTATTATATGAAGAACTTTAACTAAAACTTCGTAATTGCAGGTTATATCTATTGTAAATACGTTTATTTATCTAATTTACTTAGTAAAATTGAAGCTTAAATGCGTGACCTCTTCAAAAGAGCAAATTATTGGAGCTCGCATGGCAGGAGCCTCGATCACTAAGGTTGCTGAACTGTTTAGTTTTTCAAGAGCTACCATATCAAGAACACTGATGCAATTCGAGAAAGCAGGTCAAGAATTCTAGCAACTGTAGCAATTCGGGCCGGACTTGCAAACTTACTGACTGGGACTGACGTGCATTGAAACGCAATGTGGCAAAAAAATCATCAGACAAACGCGGCCAAAGTGACTGCTGAGTTAAATAACCATCTGAATAGTTCAGTTTCTACTAAAACTGTTCACCGTGAGCTCCATAAGGCTGCATATCATGGAAGAGCCGCTGTGAGGAAACCTCCTCTCCACTCGCAACATTCAAAAGAGGTTGAAGTGGTGCAGAGATCACAATGCCTGGTCTGCAGGCCAATGGAAGCAAGTCTATTCTCAAACAAGTCCAGTTTTTCTCTTTTCCCAACTTCAGGGCGAGTTTATGTGTGGAGGCAGCCCAAAGAAGCTTACAACCCTGACTGCCTTCTTCCAACAGTGAAGCATGGAGGTGGATCAGTGATAGTTTGGGCCGCCATATCATGGAAATGTCTCAGTCCAATATTTGCCTTGCATGGTAGAATCATCAGCAATGATTACCTGAACATTTTGGGCGATCATGTTCATCCAATGGCCAAGACTTTATTCCCTGATGGTGACTGCATCTTCCAAGATGATAATGCTCCAATACATGCCGCTCGAGTGGTTAAGAATTGGTATGAAGAGCATGAAAGTGAGCCTCCCCAACCTCAAGATATCAATATTATTGAACATTTGTGGTGCATTTTTGAGCAACAAGTTAGAAGCCGCTATCCTCTACTGTCGTTTCGTAAAGAGCCAGAGAAGGTTTTAATGGAAAAATGACTGAAAATTCCTCTGGGTGAAGTCAGGAAGCTGTATGATTCCATTCCTAGACGTATTAAAGCTGTCCGTGAGGCTAAAGGAGGACCAACTCCATATTAAATAAATTTTCTTTGAATTTAACAAGTGTTTCAATTATTTTGTCCAACCCCTGTATCAGTTCTTTTCTTTTTACTATTGTTTGCTGAATTTTGTGTCTTGAACTGTGATTTAATTAGAATTTTATAAAGATCAAGCTTGTCTAGATATTCATCTTTTATGTACCGTTTCCTTTATTGACATGGGTGACCATGGCTCTCCACATCTTTCTGTCCCTTGTATCTCTCAGTAACATTTCACCTTTTGCTATCCCTCTTTCCAAATAACCTTTCATTCCTTCAGTATTTTATGTTAGTGTTAAATCCCCCAAGCCTTCTTACCTCATTATGCATTCCAGAAATTTGGACTGTCTGATTTTAAATACAAATGTCCTTGCAGTTACTATAAAATTAGAACGTTTGCTTTTTTATACGCTGTGTACGCCTGCAAGTCTTGGACATTAATGGTAGGACTAGAGTGGAGAATTCAAGCATTAGAAATTAAATGCTACAGAACTATCCTCGTCGCCTCTCACGTAAACAAGAAACAGGCCCGTTGGGTGTTTTACATTCTTCCTAAAATCCTTTCTGATTTCTACTACTAGCCAGATGTGAACGCTCCGAACGTCCAAAACTCAACTAAAAATCCGACACATGTGCAAGACTCTATGCATATTTTTCTTTTAGTTACACGCTAAAAGAAAAAAAATGCAATACAATCCATAATTTCTATCCAATGGCACCCACATCCGTCTAAAAAAAAAAATGAAAACTGGAGTCTATTTGAGCCCTAAAATGGACATAAAAGCCCATAAAAGTAATATTCGACAGTCGGATGGTATCTTGACCCGAGTTCACGCACTTTACCTCCTAGATCCAAGAGATATCAAATTCGACCAGCTCGCAAAACACCGTTGCCCCATTAAGTCATCCTTCCTCTTCTTCCGTACGCCTCACCAGACACCTTTTACGGCTCCACCTATCTTCCCTGATTATTCATTCGTTGTATTTTATGTTAATACAGTTGTTTATAGCTTTAAATTTTCGTTGTCCCTTTTACATTCTGCCACCAAATGCTTAGTAACGCGAAACACACGTTCCTATTATAACAGTTGGAAGACCTCATAAAAACCGCCAAGAAGTTGAAAGTGAAATGGTATGACCACATTATAAGAGCCAACAATCTTTCCACTTCCATGGTACAATGTCCTACCTTAGTGTTGTAACCTAGGGAAGGTTACCAAATAGAATAATCACACGAAGGTTGGTAATGAACGATAATACTTAGGACAAGAACAACACATATATGATTTGCGTAGAAGTAGTCAACTGTTAGAAGTGAGTCAAGTGAATTCCACAATGAATCTCCAACTGCAGAATATGTACCAACCGCCCCACGTGGTCAGATGTTGCACAAGGACGAGTTTAATGTGGGTTATCCGAGCCCGTAAGGTCAGCCCAAAATTTCCCGTAGACCCCGTATAAAACGAGGTCAGGTAACTATTTACCAAGACGAGACTCGGCCCTTTGACATGGCTTCGTCTGGGGGTCCTTTCTGCCGGGACGCGGGAGAGTTTGACCAGCACAGCTGAAGACGGATCTCCAACTGCTGGATATCTACTAAGCGCCCCACCCGGTCAGATGTGGCACAACGCCGAACTTAATGTGGGGTACCCGAACCTGTAGGCTCGGCCAAAAATTCCCCGTAGATCCCGTATTAAACTGGGTCGGGTAGCTGTTTCCCCAGACGAGATTCTGCCCTTCGATATAGTCTTGTCTAGGGATTCCTCTCTGCCCGGAGACAGAGAGTTTAACCAGCACAGCGGGAGACGAATCCCATTATCGTCCGTGGGTCTGCTACAACACTTATGCAATACAGAAAGAGGCAGGCAGAAGAAAAAAATGGGTTGACAATGTCACTGGAGAGAATGGAAGATCCTTCGCAGAGATTTAAACATTGGCATGCAAATGTGATATGTGGAGAGGGGTTGTCACGTTCTCAGTTGTGCATCGACAATATGACCACATCCGGTCATGGCCCTAATAGATGATGATAGCAGTTTGGTATAAAGAAACTCATCAATAATTTTTTACTATATTCTTGTTTGTAAAAATAAAAATACGTTTGGGTCGATATCGGTCTGATACCGATATA